GTGATGGTGTACGTCATCTAATACAGAGTTAAATGGATGATACTGAGCCAGCTTGTGCTTCTGTATGAAAATGTTCTTCTTTTACAATAGTAGAGAAACTCCTGCTGGCTCCAGAGAGCAAGATCTCTGACCAAGCTATAGGTTGCAGTTAGGACCCAAGAGCTGAACATCTCCCACAGTATCCTGTGGGTCTGAGTGAGTTGCTCTGTTGGCTGAGCTGGCACCCAGTCAGGGCCAAGACAGCTGACCAGAACATTGACGGTTTATTTTGGTTTTGGGGGGGTTCTGGGGGTTTTAGGTTTTTTGTTTGGTTTTCTTTTTTTGTTTTTGTTTTGTTGATTTGGTTTTGGTGTTTGTTTTTTGGTTTTTTTTTTACTCCTTTTACAGTGAACTCCTATGGCCAGCCCCAGCCCCCCCATCTCTTCTCTGGGCCATCTCCTATGTACCAGATTTCCACCCAGGACTCTCCAGGATATAATCGCCCAGGTAAGGGGTGACGTTACAGGTAAGGGCTATGTAGTTCTGGTGTCCTCAATATAAGAAGCACATGGAGTTGTTGGAGCAAGTTCAGAGGAGGCCATGAGGCTGATCAGGGGCTGGAGCACCTCCCATACAAAACCAGGCTGAGAAAGCTGGGGCTATTCAAACTGGAGAAGAGAAGAATGCGTGGAAACCTCACAGCAGCCTTCCAGTCTGAAGAGGACTTACAGAGGATGCTGGAGAGGGACTCTTCATCAGGGACTGTAGTGACAGGTCAAGGGGTAATGGGTTCAAACATAAACAGGGGAAGTTCAGCTTAGATATAATGAAGTTCTTTACTGTGAGGGTGGTGAGGCATTGGCACAGGCTGCCCATAGAAGCTGTGAATGCTCCATCCCTGGCAGTGTTCAAGGCCTAGTTGGACAGAGCCTTAGGTGGCATGGTCTAGTGTGAGGTGTCCCTGCACCTGGCAGGGGGGTTGGAACTAGGTGGTCTTAAGGTCGTTTCCAACCCAAACCAGTCTATTGATTCTATGATTAAGGGGTATTATACCAGGGAACATCAAAGAGCTGGTTCCCAAGCCCTCTGTGCATTTCTCCCAAAGCACTTATTAATCAAATGGGGAGCACTGAGGGTAGAGGAGATTGGATTACAAGGGACCCTCCATTTAGGGCTCTGCCATAGCTCTGGCAAGGTTTAGGATTTCAGCGGCCTGATTTCTTTCACTTCACATAAACAGTCTTCTAGCTCAGCCTTGCCCTCAGTTGCTTGAAGGCAGCTTTACACAAGAAGCTTCTGTTGATGAAGTCATTTGTGGTCCATCAGCAGTAAGCTGTAAGGAAGGTTAAGGAGATTCAAACTTAACCTCTGAAGAAGCTGCAATGGAGACTTTCATAGCAGACCACCTACAGACATTGGTAGGTGCTGTCTGACGGAGAAAATCATGCCAGTAGTGTTCTTGCTTGTTCAGCTGTTGGAAAGGAGAAGACCCAAATCTCTTTATGCTTTCTTTTGCCCAAGGGCCCACTGTGAAAGAAGCGTGACCTTTTTTATTCTAACTGTTCTCTTTCCTTTCTGTTCTATTTTTCTGTTTGTTTTGGGCAGCTCACCATCTGGTCCCTCGGCCTCCAGGGCCTCCTCCAGGCGCCACTGAGGAAATCCCCGATGATTTTGACTGGGACTTGATCACCTAACGAGTTACAGACTTGATAGCCCGTCCTTTGTGAAGGACACGGGAGGGGAGGGAGACCTGGGGTCACTGGTGCCAGCATCACCCTCCCCAGCCTCCCTGCCTTGCCTGTATATAGATATATATTCTCTATCTCCGCCAGAGAAGCCACCGCAAGATGCTGCCGAAGATAATCCTTCCTTGCGTCCTGTTTTATCTTCTTTTTCTTCTTTTGTTTATTATTATTATTATTATTGTTATTATTATTACCAATAATTGAGCACAGCCCCCCCCTCCTCTGGTGGCCTTGGACGCATCAGATTGGCTCTTTAGTGTTACATGGTGCCCTGTGGAGGGTGGAAAGATGTGTCCTTGGTGCCACGAAAAGACCTTGGAAGGCTGAATCCTTGAGTGCATCTTTCTCTGCCTCCGTCATTTTGCGTTTAACAATCCCTCTTTCCCTTCAAGGTGGCCGGTGAATTTGTTGTATTGGCTACTGGAGTGAGAGAGCCTAGTGGACCCTGGGAGCCTGTAGTTCTGTTGTTTCGTAAATGTTGTAAAGGTCCGGGGGCTAAAGGGACACTGGGGAGGTGATCTTAGCTCTGTGAACTTTCTTGCACCAGCAGGAAAAGAAGTAGAGTTCCCAAGTACAAAAAGAGGGTAATCCCTGAGGTAGGGAGAGCTGAGGTGAGCTGGGAGGGTTGACCTGAGTTTGGAGGAAGGAGAATGTAGCAGAGAAGTTGGGTTTTGGAATGCAGTGCCATCTGTGACAAGTGAGGGAGATTTTAAGGGAATCATGACTTATTTTCTACACTGCCTTTTGTGGTCTCCAGGTGAAGCCTACATGCCCATCAGGTAAAAGATGCAGTCAGGGGTGTCACATGTGATTCAGCAAATTCTATTCCCCAGAGCTTGTAACTTCACCCCCCACCCCTTCAAGCCCTTCTTCAAAATAGTATTGAGGCTCTTGCATATGCAAATTTGGAGGTTTTCTCCCATCAGTATTTGTTCAGTTGTTTGATCCTCCAGCCCTCGGATTTCTTTGGAGACTGCTCTTGCCTGTGGTTCGAGAGTACCAGCAGCAACAGGGCTCTCGGTGGTGGTTCCCACTGTGTGAATGGGCTGTGGTGGGAAGAGTTAAGCTGCTGCTCAGAGTGGAGGTGAATGACAGGATGATGGGCAAGGGGCTGGACCCTCTGGTCAAGTAACTGGGAGGCCCTCACAAGTGTTTTTTCTAAGAGGTGCATTAGAAGAGAGGATGAAGTGAGGCAGGTTATTAAAATGAACAGCCAAAGAGTGTAGTATAGAACGGAGGAGGATGGGTCAGACCCCTTTGCAATTCAGCTGGGGAGATTGTGGAATCTAGTGTAAATCCCAAAGGATAGGTTTTGTCAGCACTTGTGAATCAGGAAGGTGGAAAAGGTGCAGGAGCAGGAGTGAGTGTTGAGATGCCTCCTCCCCAAAGCTGTGTCCTGTGTTCCCCTTTTTGCTGGTATTGGCTCCGTTCTGTCAAACCTCTTGTTTCTTCTTAATATTTTGTAAAGTCTCCCCCCAGCCCTTATTCCCTGTTCACCAGTGAAGGGAACCAGGATAGAAATAAAATATGAGGACTACTTGACAGATCTGGGGCAGGGGAGTAATAACCTCTACTCTGACTGCAGGAATGTGGGGAACTAGCATTGCTTTTTAAATTTGCTGTAGGAATAAAGCAATTGGATCTTTGTCAGGGAAGTGGACGAAGTCTCCCTGGATTGGGAGGGTGGACATTTTTGTTTCTTTTTTTTTTTTTTTCCCCCTCCCTTTTTTAAGTGTGTTTTTTGGGGGGGGAGTTCATCATTGAGTGTTTCCAAGAGAAATGAGGAATCCCAGACAACTGCAGCGTGGAGTCAGCTGTTCTCTCTGCTGCCTCAGGATGGGAATGATACAGCTCGGAAGCATGTGTGATGGGTTTCTGTGGAAAGTGGCACCGGAGACAACCAGGAGAGATGACCTCCGGTGGGTGCCAGTTAGTGCTTTGCAGAGGGTATTACTGAGAGCCGGCCCTGTGGAAGTCTGAAAACACCACTGGAAGAGAAACCAATTGTGATGGCTCCTTCTGCGTATAAAGTGCTCCTCATTTTCATATTTGCCTCATTTGCGTATTAAGTTGTGCCTCATTTGCATATGTAAATACATGCCGGTCAGTGTGCAAATCAGCCTCGTTCCTCTGCCCTGAGATAAACGTGTGTTGTTGGTGCGTGGTTCGGCCCTGGGCAGGCATGTGGAGTTCCGCAGGGTGCGCGGTGCCAGTCCCCCTCTGCAGGCCCCCCCGTGCTTTGTGTCAGTGGCCAGGAGAGAGGAGCGTGGTCTCACGAGTTTATTTTTGTGCATGCTTTCTTAATAAAAACAAAAAGTGAATGTTTATGGTTTAACCCTCTTGGTGCCAGTATTGACTTCTTTGCTAGCAGCGCCCGGCTGGTGGGCATGGTTCCCATCTACTTACATCAGAACCAGAATTTAGGGGCTAAATGAACAGTCCCCAGTGCTGTGTACTTCAAGACTTAGGATGTCTAAAGTTCCCAGGGCACAGAGAGCAGTGAGTCTCTCAACTTGTGCTTGCCAGAAGGGCAAAGAAAAATTATGCCAATGCTCAGGGACTGTTTGTCAGACCATGTGTTTAGTTTACTCCTTTAGGGAAGGACTAACACACAACAATGGTTTTGAAACCAGAGTTCCTTCGAAGTGTACTTGAGCTTTTCAGGACCAGAGAGTATCCAGACTTGGAAGACACCCCCAATTAGCCTGACAGGGCACAATTTTTTCCTCCTCTACCAGCAAGACATGAGAGCAGGTTATGAGTATACTGCAACAGGCTTATTCCCCACCTTCTTGGGGTCAGAGTGGAGGTTATTACTTCTCAATTCCAAGGCTTTACCAAATGCCTGACAGTCCAGCAGCCACCTAATCTGGTTCAGAATGAGTGCAGTTGCTCAAATTCTGCTGGTGTGTCATTTTAAAGTGCAGTAGGTACATTTGCATGTCCCTACTAAAAGGAAGATTTGGGATTCCAGTGGTAGAGGGCATGAATGAGTGCAGGCTAATGAATATAGCCATAGCATGTGCTTTTGACCAGTTACTGCCATACAGTGCTGTATTTGCCAGGACAAAGAAATATCTTGGGCATCATCTACCAGGGCATGGAAGTCAGCTCAATAAAGCTTACTGGGGCAAGTGCTCTTCTAATGCACTGCTGTAAGAAAACGTAGCACTACCCTCTAGGGAAATGTTCAGAGGAAAAACCCAACCCTCAGACCCCAAGTACATTCAAAGGAGAGGGAAAACAGGATGACAGATTCCAAGGAGACATCAAAAGTTGCTTTCATCTGCAGTTTATCAGAGACAGGAGATGTAGAATGTAGACATATGCAAATAACTCTAATGATGTTCTCCTCTAGCAATTCAGAGTTTAAACTACATGATCCCACCACAATCATCCTGCAAGCCTGCTTTCATCTTTAAAGGTTGAAGTACTACTCTGTCTCCTTCACCAGCATCTTCCCTGACATTATTACTCTTCGTACTTCAACTTCTCATCTCTATAGGATCTAAAGGGGGTTTGCTGTTGTGAGCTGAACCATCTCACTGCTTTGTGTGTGGAGCTGCAGATTAATCAAATGTGCTGGAGAAAAAAAAAAGCTGTTAAGTGGAGAGTGATTGATGTGCAGGACCATAGCGCCTATTTCTACAGCGGTGATCGGAAATCTTGCATTACACTGTGCTGCTCGTGTTCTTCTCTGCTGAAGTCTTGTTTCCGTGAAGAGAGCAAGGGATGGAACGTGTTGACTCATCAGTAAAGACACCTTCCAAGATTCCTTGTAGTGATTGTCTTGCCTTTGCCCTGAAGTCCCGACCCACAAAAACATAGACCAGGGGATTGATGCAGCTGTTGGCATACGCAAGTGCTATAGAGAGGTGATCCCAGAGGATCAATGACTGCCCCAGTTGTGTTCCCAGAATAGGTATAAGGTACAGAATCCCAACTATGTGATATGGAGCCCAGCAAATGAAGAATGCAGCTACCACAAGCACAATTGTTTTCAACATCCTGTTGTGTGGCTTGTGAAACAGTTTTGCATGTGTTCTGAAACCAATGAGGGCATAGCAAACTGCCATTGTAGCAAAGGGGAGTATGAAGCCGAAGACAGCCCTAGTGATGTTTACTGCCACTAGGGCAAATGACACAGGATAATCACCTTCATAGGCATAAACCCAGGAGTCATTACGACTGTAGTCTAACAGCGAGTATTCTTCCTGTAACTCATTTACAGGACTATCCACGTAATCTGGCATTAGGGGATCTCCAAAATTGTACCCACACTCAGTTTTGCCATCATGAGTGCTAGTCTCACGGTAGTGGAAGACAGGGCAGCAAAAAATGAAGGCCAGGATCCAAATGCCACTGCATATTAGTAATACAGATTTCATTGTTCGATGATTTTGACACCAGATAGGTTTCATCACAAGAAGGCACCGGTCAATGCTGATGGCTGTAAGTAGGAAGACGCTAGCAAACATGGTGAAGATTATGACTGATGGGATGACTTTGCAGAGGAACCAACCATACAGCCAGTGTTCATGGAGGGCCAGGTGAACAATGGAAAATGGCAAGGATAGGCAGCAAATGAAGTCAGCCACAGCAAGGTTTACGAACCAGACAATGTTCACAGACCTTTTCATTTTCAGACCAGCTACCCATATCACCAGTCCATTGCCTGGGATACCTATGATAAAAATGATGATGAAGATAGCAATGGAGACAATGGATTCTGATTCATAATGTTCAGCAGCCTGTTCATGTGAACTGCTGTTATCCAGGAGCTGAGGCATTCTGTAGCTATAAAATAGAAAGCAAATTAGTTGGCAATTCATGTCCTCCTTCCCAATTCTTCTCTGTATTTGTACAGAAGCATCTCTGAGTCAGGTGACAGTACAGAGCTGTCAGGGTACAAAGACAGTTTGTGCTAAAGACCTAACTAATCTAGCCATTATACACATTTTTCATTCTCATGGTGGCTAAGCTACATAAACCACACCATTCAAACAAGAGGGTTGTATACGCTTAAGTCCTCCTGTCACTGTCATCCCCCTTAACTGCAGTCTGGTTCCTTTTAGTCTCCAAAGTGGAGCTCTCTGTTCACATGCCCACACTGTCACCAGGTGTCTTTCCCAATCAGCTTCCAGCTTTGTATACACTTCTTCAGAAAGGTAAGTCAGCATTTAGTTCCTTTTCCCTTTAAAACAAGCGATTTCTTGGCATAACCAGTGTAATAGGTTTAGGTTAAGAAAGCAATGCTTGTCTTCAAGAAATAACCCTGCTCCACTTTCTGGGCATTATAAATAGGACAGGACACCAATCCTGTTTGCTAAGGGGTATTTTTAGGGAAGTTTCAGTAAGCACTTCCTTCTCCCTGCTTTTGTTCTGAGCTCTCAGCTAGTTCCTTGGAAAGCTAATCTTGATGAAGAGAAACACGAGAAATTAATGGTTTATGAAAAACAGGCAGAGATTTGGTTGTAGAAAGAAAAAATAAAATACTGAGCAATAGCAGCAATGTTCTTGACCATTTCAGATATAAGAAAAGGTGCCTTACTGCAAGACAAATTGAGTCACAGAATACTTCAGTAACATTTTAGAACTGTGAGAATAGTACTGGAAAAACTTTAATTGCTCATTTATTCTTGGACTTAGTAAGCTTAGAAATGAAAGAAAATCTAGCAAAGTCAAGATAGAACCGAGAAGGAGTCTGATTTTCATCCTTTAGGCATTAATAGAATTGTTTATAAAATCCCTGTTAACCTTTTCCATGTGAATGAAGACAGTTGGGTTGCTGAAAGGTCCCTAAAAGCATTACCAGAATGCAAGGGAGCTGCATAGGTAAGAACTGAATACAGCCTGCAGGAGCAACTGAGGAGGCATGAACAACCCAGACTGACTATTTTAACCTCTATTATGCCAGTACTTAAATGCCAGTCAGGGTCTGTTGTGTGCAGGACTAAGTATCAATATAATTAAAAAAAAAATAAAATCCAAATCAGCAACTGGGGCTTAACTTAAAATCCTAACAAGTCTTGCTGATATATGAAGCAACAACTTTTACAGGGGAAATTGGAGAAGAAGAACTGAATTTTGCTGCCTCCCCATATTGGCTACAGAAGATTCTGTGAAGGGGAGAGAGAGTCAAGGAACGCTGTGAAGATAGATACGAATACACATCCTACTCCATAGCAAACTGAGGGATGAATCAAGAAGAAGATCATAACCACGCTATGTTTTCAAAAGTGCTAACAGGGCTGCTATGTGGTTATGAAAATGGAAGGGGGTAACTGGAGGGGAGAGAGAAGTTTTGAGGAGTGAAGAATAAGAAAGTGAAAGGTAAAAAGGAAAGGACAATTCAGTTTATTATACCTACCCAAGTGAAGCAGGGTATGCCGGTGTGTCAGGGAGCAAGTACCATCAGTCCTGCTTCTGAAGTGACTGAAAACAGAAACTCGTATGACATTTTAGGAACTGTTTTTTTTCCTGTATGTGTGTGCTAAGTATGTTCTTTCACCATGATGGAAAGGCTTAAAATGACTCATATTTGAAGTTTTAGATGAGATCTGCTGATAACAAAACCAAAGAAGCTGTCCCAACACCATCAAAATAATTAGTGCCCTGAGTCAAAGAATCAAAGTAAGGGAATGTGAGGCACACATACTTCACTGCAGTCTCCATATGACAACCAGATCACATCTTGCCTGTTGGCATAACACTGACCTTTGCTTGATGTAATTCATAATTCCAAATCCTGCCATCAGCTGGCTGATCTGTTATCTTGTAGTCATTTCCATGTTTTATCAGATCAGCACATTCACATAGACAATACCATTTCTGGGATTCTTATCAGTTCAGATCAGCTTCTGTCCCAGCTTCAGACAGCTTAGTTTACCAAACACATAACAGTGTACTTGGCAAAAATTGGTCACGTTACAGGGATTTAAATCTGATTTCTGACCTTTCAGGGTATTTCAAGGCTTATTGTTAGCCGGGGTTTTTTTTTGTTGTTTTTTAGAAGGAACTTGACAGATGAAAAGTTAGAAGCGGTTTAACTGAAATGCTGATAGCACAAAATGTGACAAGACTATAAAAAGAACGGGCACGTAGGGCAAGGCATTTCAAATGTGCAACAGTAGGGTTCCCCCTCACCCCTCCAATCTAGGAAATCAAAACTGCTAACAGAAGTGATAAAGCTCAGACATACAGGAATCAGTCTTGCTATTTTGGTTTCAGTCTGGAAAATGAACCAGGATGGAGCAGAGTTCCGTGCCTGAGCATGTCTCTGTGAAACACAGGAATGCTGCCTCCAACACAAACAAAATCTGAAAGCAGAAACAGGAAGGCAGGCTAGGGCTGGGCTGTACCCCAGAGATGGACAGGCTGGCAGCAGCCTGCCACAAAAATTCCTCTAGCTGCATCCTATTCTCAGCTGACATCTTTCCTGGGGACTTCTCAGACCCAGGCAGAAAGTGTGTGCAGGAGGATACTCCTATTGGCTCCTGTTGGCAAAGGGACACACAGCCTTTTCCCCACCATGTGCTGGTTCTACTCAAACTACTCCTTTGCAAGAGGCCAGCTCTGATCTTCCCAGTTAAACCCTCTCCCCTACAGCCAACACTGACACAACCAGCACTTCAGCCACCTCATCCTGGACAGTAGTGAGATGATGTAGTACTTCTCTGTACAGCTTTCCAGATCAATTAGCTTTTTAAGCTGTTTGACTAGTGAAGCATTTTGCACCTCAGCAAAAAGGGCCAAGTAACAAAGACAGTCAAAGAAGATAGTGCCAGGAGGGAAAAAGGCATTTTGTTAACTTCCATAAAACGGTTACTTGGAGCAGACCAGACCTTTGACTTGTAGCTTTGATGGCAATCCCAGATCACTATGCTGCATTCTTTTTTTTCTCTTCTGGATCTATTTTCTCCTCTGAAGTGTGCTTTACTGTACATTGCTGAGTACGATCAGGTAAGCACAAGCTTTGGATACCAAGCAGGGAACCATGCTTGGCAAAATTGCACATTTATAGATCATGCATAATTAAAACGTAGCTCTTCACAATAACAGGTTTTCAGTACCGGCTGAGTGTTCAGGTCCAGCGTTTTGCCAAGGCACTTTCTGGGAAAGAAACACCATTTGTAATAGTAGTTGGACTGTTTTGTAAAAATAATCTTGAGATTAACCTTTAAGTTATCTCATGGGTTGCTCTGTGAGACTGGTTCCCCTGCACCTCCTGGGCAGAGAAGGAAAATTCCAAATATATGGTACATCCATTCCTGGACAATGCCTTTTTTTTTTTTTTCTTACATAAGCAAAACAAATGCAAAACAAAAGCCCAAATGATTCTTCTGCATGGTTTATTATGAAGCTACCTATGGATTGGCATGGACATTTTACTCTGTGCAGGCCTTTTTATTTGCACACCTCATATGACTGAACATTGTGGAGTCCCAGCTAAGATTTCTGGTACTGCTTGGTTTTCAATCATTGAAGATTTCTGTGCGGGAAGAATATGAATCCTCCATTGCTTTCATAGTCTGAGTTTAAATATGTTCTCCTTCAAGATTTCAACCTCGCTACTTAATCCTTTAAAAAACAAACAAAACAAATCCCAAAACTTTAGCTATTTTTGGCAATGCTTTGTATTTTCTAGGTCCAGAGATGCTTCTTTATAAAACAAAATGTTATGTTCTCTGGTAGTTAAGTCTCAGTGGAATTGAATGGGAGATGTATTCCTGGTGCCATAGTGCTGCTTGTGCATCTTTCCTCATATGCCTTAGAGAAGCTGGCCCTTGGCCACTCTCTCATCTGAGATTTTCTCCTTCTAGAAGAACTGTGGGAAGATAGTGTCACACTGCATGATACCACAATAAAGAGGCAGGTGAAATTTAATATTGCCAATTGTGAATTATTGAATTTGGAAAAGCAACCATAACTATACAGACTGATGTAAGTAAGTTATTAACATTCAAAGAAAAAACTTAGCAGTTACTGCAGAAAGGGCTGTGAAAAAGCAATACTAATCAAAAGGTTAAATACAACAGAAGCATTCAGTTGCTTCTTGAATACTGAATGCTGCAAAGGTCCTCAGTCTTAAAAACAATTAGAGAATCACAAATGATACAGAAAATTATGACATAACTCAGAATGGCTTCTTTTGATGGACAAGCTAAATAGATGAGAATGATTCACCTTGGGAAAGAAACATCTAGGTAGCAGTATGAGAGGCACATGAAGAAAGTGACATAAATTCTTACAGCACTAGAATTAGGACATATCAAATTATCAGGTAGAAGTTTGAAAACAAAAATATTACACTTTCTCATGTTGCACAATTAGATTCATGGCTCCAGGGATGATATGGGTAACTGAAAGTATAAATAAATTCAAGAAAAACCCAAGTAGATGAATCTACACAGAACAAAATCCTATAAAATACTGCTAACAAATGCACACAAGCTCCTGGCCCACACAAAGCCCTTGTATTAGACTGTGAAGCTAGTATAGTAGGAAAGTAATTCTGTACTGTTTCATAGGCTTTCTTTAAGCAGCTCTGCTCTTCTCCAAGGTTTGTCTCTCATTTGGCTTCTTTGCCTTAATTCTGGCAGTCTGGCAAGCAATGTAACAGCCACATATTGCAAAAGCACGGAGGCAGAGCCTTCTTTTACACTGTGGCACGTACCTGCATTGAGTATTGGTGCTATGTATTCCTACGAGCTCTTGTGCAGGGTGCATGAAATGGTTCAAATCTGTCTGCCCACCCCAGCACACAGCTTGTCAAGGCACCCCCCTCAGCTGGCAGAAGGGAAGGGGAAAAGGAAGCTGCACATTCATGTCATTCCGTATCTGTTCATGTGCTTAGCTCACACCACTCATGAGGCTTTCCTGTGTACCTACTCAAAACAGCTGTCAATACCGTTTCTGGGTATTGTCACCCCTTCCAAGTGCAAAACTTGTAATGGTTTATGCCCCATTTTCTCTTCAGTTTGTGATTTTACCAAAGGCTGCAAAAGCACTACGGGCTACACAAAACCCATTTTCACTTAAAACAGAAGCTTTAACCCAAGTCTGCAGGAAAGCAAGCCACACTGGAGAGAAGGCGCTGAGGGCACGCAGGGATCTACAAGCCCCCAGTAGATATCCATGTGGGAGCACAAACCCCAGCCCCGCGTCTTGGCACCTCCTAGCCGTGGCTTCCCAGTTCCCGGCGCGACACCAGCGCCTTTTGCTTGGTGACACCAGTGGTCCAGGAACAGCAGCCGGAACCGCCGCCGCCACCACACACACACACACCCGCGAACTGGGCTGGCGGCAAGTGCCCTTCACGGCACCCCCTACACCCAGGGCGCCTTAGCCAGCCCGGCTCCGCCCACTCCGCCCAGCTCCAGCATGGCGCCCGGCACCACTTCATCAGCCCGAACCAAACATGGCTGCTGTAGGGGAATTGCCAGGGTCCAAGATGGTGCCAGCCCCCGCTGCTGTGTCAGAATCGGCTTCAAGATGGTCGCCCCCCCCCAGCCAGCTCTTTGCTGCCAGGATCTAAGATGCCTTCCTCCACCAGTCCGACGTGCCTCGCTTCCTGCCCGGCGCCCCAGCGGCCCTAGGCGGTGTCTGCCCTCATCAAAGATGGCGGTCGGAAGCACCCTGGGTTATTAGCCTCCCACCCCTCGCTCCTCGCCTGGTCGTTGGGGTTCGTGGGCGAGATGGCGGCGGCTGAGCTGGAGTACGAGTCCGTCCTCTGCGTGAAGCCCGATGTCAACGTCTACCGCATCCCGCCACGAACTTCCAACCGCGGGTACAGGTGAGAGAGCGTGCGGCAGCTAGGATCGCCCTGCCTCGGCACGGCACGGTCCATCCAGCCCCTGCCCGCGGGGACGGGGCCTCAGGCCGGAGAGCACGGCAGCCGCGGGTTGGGCCTGGGCCTCCGGGCAAAGGTGTCCTGGCCACGAGTGGGGCCTTCGTGAAGCCGTGGCCTGCGGCCGCAAGCAAATCAGGCCTATTCCCTGCGGCTTTACTTAGTGCCCGGCGGCCGCCGCTTTGGGGACATACCGGGTTGAGTTGCCGGTTGTCTGCTCCTAACAGCAGGAGCCTTTGCTCCGTGCTGTGGAAGAGCAAGGGCTGCTCGTGTGGAGGAGGTGAGGGCACCTGAGCAGCTTGTTTCTCCAACCTTAGCTCCTAATATGCCCAGTTCCCTGGGATGTAATGTGATATAATGGCACATTGAATTTGGCCTGCTGGCTCTCACAGCAGCAGGGAGGAAGCCAAGTGTTAAGCATGATTTTTTTAAGAAGAGATTGCAGGACCATGAGTTAGAAATGCTTTCTGTCATGGACTGGAACCAGTGCAGTGTGGCTTTGTAAGCTGTGCCCACAGACTTCCTGGAGAACGGACAGGGCTTGTGCTCTGGGGAGCTGATGGGTGTCGGTGGTACTCAAGGCTTTGGCAGGCTGTTGCTGCTAACAAATATAGATATTTGTTTTCAGTTGTAAAATCCTGTAGGTTGGGGATTTTCTCTCTTTTTTCCTTTTTTTCCCTTCACAACAGTCTGTAGCAAAGAGTTTGATGGGATAATCAAGATGATTGTGTGTATGATGATTTATATTGTAAGCTAGCTGCCTCTAGGTTCAAGTACTTAATACTATTTTACAACAATAGGGTAGAATAATGGAGTCATTTTTCAGCATGCTGTTAATTAATTTTTGTGGTCTTCCTGATGCTCACAAGTCACTTATTAGTTGGTTTTGGCTTTACTGTCCTAAGCGAATGTCTTGAGTTTGTCTTGCCTCTTCTGCAAGTTTATGAAGGTAAAGACAGAGATGTCCTCTGGACTGTATCTATTTCCGTTTACTTAGAGGAAAGAGAGGCCAGTCAGAGCCAAGTGTGTCAGTTGGCAGCAACAGAGAGGAGCTAAGACCCTCTATATTGTTTGGGGAGAGAAGTGGAATAAAGCAGCTGCACATGTTAAAGGTTTGGGAGCGGAGGCTTTTGATAAGATGGTTGGGTAGAAGTGAAGGGGTTGACAGTCAGTGAACAGTTGCTTTTCTTGTCAGGGCATCTGACTGGAAACTGGACCATCCGGACTGGACAGGACGGCTTCGTGTCACTTCCAAAGGCAAAACTGCATACATAAAACTGGAGGATAAGGTTTCAGGTAAGGGAAAAGCTGTGGCTTGGCAAGACTGCGACCATGATTGCTGCTTATGAGCCTGTGCTTCTAAGCCTGCTCAGAGCTGTGCATGGCAGCCATGGCCATGGTTTACCACAGGGTTCCTCTTTTTAACACCTAGTTCTTTGTGTGCAGGAGAACTCTTCGCCCAGGCTCCTATAGATCAATACCCTGGCATTGCAGTAGAGACTGTGACAGATTCCAGCCGCTATTTTGTCATTCGAATTCAGGATGGGACTGGTGAGTTGGGGGATTATGTATGTGCCAGGTGTTAGGGGTGGAGGAGACTTCAGCCATATGGAGCTGGATGTCTGTCAGGTGCATTAAAATGGTGTTGGAAGTGCTGAAAAGCCTGGGTAGTGTGCCTGGAGGGGTAGGGAGTAAGGTTAAAGAGGAGGGTTCTCAAATTGCAAAGATTCCAGGGCCTGGGAAGGGA